CGCATAGAGGAAAGGTTATTGGTCACTGCGATCGCGATGAGGAAAATGCGAACGCATAGAGGAAATATGACTGGGCAAGAAAAATGCTCTATGCGATCGCGAAGCGGACAATACGATCGCATAGGGATGGGAAGGCTGGGCATTGCGATCGCACAAGGGTTGTTGCGATCGCATAGAACAAAACTAGGCTCTTGAAATTTTTACACTATGCGATCGCGGGGGAAGCTATGCGATCGCATAGAACAACGTACCAGATATCAGAACTAAGCATTTTCTGCAATTTTTACTAAGTTCAAAACACCCCGAACCACCTCCGAATCACTCCCGAGCCCTCGGAGCTCCTAACCAAACACACACACTAACTCAACAACCTCATACGAACTTAACCGAGCGATTAAATCGCCAAAACCACATCAAAATCAATGAATCAAACCTCAAAATCATCATTTTTCACTCTAACTTCATAAGCTTAAAATTTTAGATATCTAGGTCCGAAACACGTCAAATGACGTCCGATTTCAACCAAACTTCACAGAACGCGCATAAACCATATATAAGACTGTACCGGGCGTCGGAACCAAAATACGAGCCCGATACCACAGTCTTTTAATCAATTTTCATTTTTATTTTCCTTAATAATTTCAGAAAAATAATTTCACAGAAAAATTCTTTTCTCGGGCTCTAGACCTCGGAATTCGACTCCGGGCATATGCCCGAGTCCCATATTTTTCTACGGACCCTCCGGGACCGTCGAATCACGGGTCCGGGTCCGTTTACCAAAAATGTTGACCAAAGTCAACTTTAATCATTTTAAAGCCACATTTTGAAAATTTTCATAGAATTTAACATATAAGCTTTCCGGCTACGCGCCCGGACTGCGCACGCAAATCGAGGAAAGTAAAAATGAGGTTTTCAAGGCCTCGGAAGCGCGGAATGAATGAGGAAACAGGTGATGACCCTTTGGGTCGTCACATAATTGCTCATGTACTTGTGACACCGGGTTCTGGGATGTATTTGGGTTTATTCAGAAATTTTAAAAGTTGTATAAATATTTCATTATTCATTCGGAGGAATATACTGAGTACTGTTTTAATCGTATAAAGGAAGTGTTGTCAAAATTATTAAAACAAGAATTTAATTAAGTATTTCAGTTGGCTTGCCTGACAGCGGTGTCCGGCGCCACCACGACCCTTAGTAGATTTTGGGTCGTGACACAAGGCCTTCATCATCATCCACAATAGTAGAAGTGGTATAATGCATAGTGGGATTAACATTGCCTACATTAAGAGCATCATCATCAACTATATTTGCATAATAATTATATAATTATTGTAAAGAATCATTTAGCTTGTTCATACAAACATATATATCTGGGATTTCAGTTGGTCCAATCTCCATATAAGTATATAAAGCATTGATTAATTGGTGACAATTAGACATCTTAATAGAAGGATTTAAAACGGCACCAATTAAGTAAATCGGAGGAATTGGAAAGAAATATTTTTTGAATTCTGCATGCATTTTTTCAACAACATCCTTATATTTTTCTTTCTTCTTAAATTCAAAGAGTAGAAAAGAAATTTCAGCTATATATACTAAAACCATAGTAACAGTGGGGTGATATGCTCCAGAAAACTCAACAGTAGCTGTATAAAATTTATGAAAAATTTAACAACATCATTAATGGCCTCCCAAGTAGTAGTTGTTGACATACGGTTTGGATCAGTACGATGCGCATTAGCAACTTCAGTTATTGGGAATCTATATTTGTAGAAACATTTTAATGATATATATGTATAATTCCATCTAGTAACAATTTCGTCTGGCATGAATCTGGGCTTAAGGTTATGCTCGGTACACTTATTCTTAAATTCCCTAATTCCAGATTGTCTATTATTTCCTTGAATAACACCAACTGCTCTTCTAACATGAGTAATCTCAGTTGAGAATAAATCAAGGCCACTTTTAACAATTAAATTATAAACATGACATGCACACCTAACATGAAAATTTTCGTCAAGTGGTGGTTGCAAATGCAATTTTAATATTGAAATTGCGGCATTATTGTTAGAAGCATTATCAAAAGACTTACACAACACTTTTTTCTTAAGATTATAAAATTCGACAACTTCGCAAATAGTAGTACTTATAAACACTGCAGTATGACTCTGATCTTCATCATATTTAAAAGCGATAATACGTTTTTGCGTAAAATAATTATCATCTATCAGAAAGTAGAGAAACTCTACAAGGAAGATGGCTAAACAAATAACGTATGTATGTTTGATATTGTCCATGAAGTCTAAAGATATAAGATCTACAATTACTTCTAGGGATACCTTTAAATAAAGGATCCTTTGAGTATACATATTAAGATATGATGAAGAAGGAAAAGAAAAAAGTAGACAACCCAATGCAATCCTTTTTGGTAACTCCTCATGATCCTTCATTTTATCATATTTCATAAGTCCTCCAGTCATAGGGTTTAGAGTTGCTTGATTTCCATATCCATCAGAGCCCCATTATATAGGATGCTCAATTCTTATATGTCTAGTAAGTGTTCCAGTCCTCCCTAATTGTCCTCCAGTCATATGTTTAAAATTTCCGTTACAAAGTCTGCATTTAACTCTATCAGTACCTACTATTTCGTCAAAAAAATTTCAAACCTTACTTCTTTTTCTCCGATTAGTAGTCGGGGCCACAGGTGATCTACTACTAGCACCACGACCACCACCCCTGCTATCAACTCCAACACTACTAGGTGTAAGTGGTGTCTCATCTTCAATTTTTAATTCATTATCTTCTATATCGAAATCTTCCTGTAATTGTTCATAATCTATATTATTATCAGGTAATGTTTCAGAAATATGTTCAGAGACATTTAAATTACCACCAGATGCTGAAGTACTACCTCTTTTTTCTGTTTTCCCGATTAGTAACCTTATTACAAACTCTTTTTGCAGCATTAAACATATTGTGAAAATTTAACTACTAGCAACAATTAAATATGCAAATAATATAGTAAATAAGAGAAAGAGTTGGAGGGAGTACACCGAATTTGGCAATAAATTGAACACTTGATGATTTCGCAACTTCGATGTTACCACGAAGAAATGTCAATTGTTCAAACTCAAACTTCAAAGTTCAAAAAATAAATAATACGATAAATGAAATTCCAAAAAAATGAGAGCCAAATACTTGATTGCACTTTAGGTGAAGAATGAGAGAATGATAATTGAGAATATGACTTTGAGAAATGAGAGATGAGTGAAGAAATGAAGAAGGGGGGAGGAGGGTGTATTTATAGTTTTTTGAAAGGGCTAATTAGGTAATTACAAAAAGTATTAATTTTAAAAAAATATGGCCCAAAAATGGGCTATTTGTGCAAAATAGCCGTTGGGCAACGGCCCCTTGGCCCAACAGACCGTTGCCAATGGTCAGAAAGTCAGAAACATTTAAAAAGAAAAAATTGAAAGTAGCCATTAAACCAGTCTGGGCCGGGCCGGTTAACCGGTTCTACAGTGAATCGCGTTGACCGGGTTTGACCATTCCGGTTAACCGGTGGAATGAAGGTGATCGGACCAACCCTCCTTACCCCACTAACCCAGCCCACCCGGCCCCCTTTGTACCGATCCGGGGCCGATTTCGGTTTCAACTGGTCTGGGCCGGTCCGGAAACGGGTTGACCCGACTCGTTAGACACCCTTAATTTATACTAGTTATCTAAAATATATACGAAAAATGATGAATTCCGACTTGATGTTTATATTAAATAACTTCTGTTTTATGATCAAAAGATAAAACATAAGCGACAATATATTTAAATTAATTTTAATTAAGTGATAATCAGAGGCGAAGTCACAATATTTGTTACGAGTTCAACCGAACATAATAACTTGGCTCAAATTATGTATCTGTATCAAAATTTCATTAAATATGTATAAGTATTAGTTTAGAACCCAGCAACTTAAAAAGATTAGAATCCTGAACCCATAAGCTTGAAATCCTGGTTTCGCCTCGATGATGATCATGTACCAAAAATACATGTTATGTAATAACTAATTGAATTGCTATATAAATATTGAGTGTAAAGTAAGTCTTTTTTAAACATTTGTATGTGATTGACGGAGCTTCAAAATATATAGAAACGAGATTTGAGAGTTCGGACAGCAAAACATGTTGGGTGAAGTTGGATAAGAAGTGATAAAGTTATCCTATTAGGATTTGGACTTGGATTTTTGTTCGGGTGGAAGGCATATATTCATTATATTGCATTTAGTGGTGGCAAAATGGTTAAAAGAAGAAAGAAGACGGTTATCCACTCATATTATCCATTAAAAATGGGTTGGATAATGAACTTTTTAAAAATGGATTAAACATATATAACCAATGAATAACTAATCGGTTTAACTTTTACATTTGTAAAGCCTCAATATAGGGGTTCCTTAAGTTTAGGAGACTAGAAATTATATCCATATTATCCCCAGTTAACCCGTTTTTTATTCGTATTAAATATGGATCGGGTCGGATAATTTATCCATTTTTTATCATCCGTTTTCGATCCCTTATATCCGACCCGACCCAATTGTTTGCCACCGGTAATTGTGTCTTTTCTTTTTTGTTTTCTATCTTCGTTAGCGTACATGAGACAGAGAGAGTATTTGTAGAAGTAATAGGGGAATATAGCTAACTAATTTTAAAGGTGAATATGAGATAATTCTGTTCCGGTTATATTTTGAGTTTCATCCAACTACTTTAAGGCGAAATAAAGTCCATTAGGCTTATCGGAACAAATTTAAAAAAGGATTTTATACAGATAGCCAATCAAATTTACTATTTATTTTTTCTAGTCAATATAAATAAATTATAATTATTATACATGATTATACACATATTATACATAAATTCCTTGATGAATTGAGCTTTAAACTAATTATGGCTCGATACAATTTTTTGCTTCATATATGAACCCTCATAACCCATTGCAGTCAGGTTGGGTCGTTGGGCTTCTTGGAGCACTAGATCACACATGACAACTACTTTCCCACATTGCCCAAACACTCTTTCTTCATACCAACACTTTATTGCCATCTTTCTATCTTCTATTTTTTCCTATACTATAAGTGAGAATAACCAGGCAGCTCATGGTCAACATGTCTGCCTGGCCCAAAAATTATCTCATGACCTAAATTTACATCCCAACACGTGTAGCCCAATTTTGATAGCTGTCAACTCATCGTTTGATTTCTCTTACTAACATCCGACACTTGTGAAAAGCTTCATCTGCAAAACCCTCTTCTTCAAACGCCTCCCTCTTCGCTTCATATCTCTGTTGTCTTGCTCCTCGCCTCTGTCTACTGGTATTTTCTACTGGGTAATCTTCTTCTCATCTTATGTTTTTTGTATTGATTTATTTCAATCCTTAATAATATGCTAGGTATTTGTGTCTTCCGCTGAATAGTGAGGGGATTCCTGCAAATAAAGTGAAATATGTTAATAAACTTTGTTTTCAAGGTGTTTGACAAAATTCTTCAATCAAATTTTCTATTAAATTTCTTATTCTTTTCTGATTATAAATATTATTTAGAGTTAAGATGGTATTCTTATCATGTTTTGAGTCTTTCGTGAAAGATTTAGCTTGCTTTCGCTTAAAATTCTAACCTAATTGAGGATATATTGTTGCGCCTCTGTTTTTTGTGCGCTTCATTTCGCGATTTTCAGGATTTAATCCTACTTTTCATCCTTTTCAACTCTTTTAAAGTCGTTTGTGGATTGTGATAATTTGATTTTGACTGAGAAAAATAAGTTTCAACTATGATGTTTCACAATTTGGGATAGCTATGTAATCCAACAGATATGCCTTTTAATTTCTATGACCTTCTTTATTTTTTTTCCTCCTCTCATGGGTTACACAAAAAGCATGAATTTGTTTAAAAAAACTTCATGTCTAATTTCATATTTCCCTGCCTTAGATGTGAGGATGGGTGAGATGCCCAATTTAGTGTTCAATTTGATAAGAAATAGATAAATGATGTTGAATGGCATAATATAAGCAACATATACAATGAGCGAAAATTTAATGTACATATCAGTTCTGAAACAGTAGAAGATTTGAATTAGTGTTAATTTCACAAGCACATATATGTTTATAGATTATTGAAAAGAAAGTTAATAGTAATCGTACTTAGATCACATTGTTAATAGAAGGATATACCATTTTAAATCCAAGTCCGAATCCTTGAAACTTTTTGTGCATATCCGGAGATTGGAGCTGCTAATCTTGAAACACAATGAATCATATGGTAAGATTTCACTAAAAGCTAGAAGCTATTACATAAGTGATGGACTCACATATTTAATTTCATTGTTCTGAAATATTATCCCGTTAATCTCCCTATATAATTACTTTTCCATGAAAACCATACAATTTTTTTCCAGACACTTCAAGAAACAACAGAATTTCATTTAGAAGATAATCTACAAAATAATATCAATATGGCAAGTAATTTTTCGAAAAGGCAGATTCTCATGCCAGGACTAAAATTTGAAAAAGAAAAAAGAAAAAAATCAGAAATAAAATTCATTAATGATTTTGGTTTACGAACTAACTATCATGTACATGAAGATTTATTGATAGATTTTCAATAGAGGATAAAACAAAGAAAAGAATTTCTAAGATATCAATGAAAGATGTAGCATTTAGGAAATTAGAAACTTACATCTTTTGCCATCTTCAATATTTAGGCTATCAAGACTAAGGATTGTTCTATTCATCATGTACTTTCAATCTGACTTGAATCACAATTTAAGTAAGGTTTTCCATGAGGAGAAATGACTCAGTTTCTGCTAACAAGTATATTTCTAAGATATCATGAATAAATCAGAAATAATTTTTATTTGTATTCTATGTCAGAGAAAATGCTTCTTGAGTGAGTTAATATTGTAATTAACAACAACAACAACAAAAAGGTAAATATTGTATAGTTGGTGACATCAATCTTATTATTAGTAGAGTTGACGCCAAAGATTCACCTTGTACAAGAATTGGTTAATATCATTTCCCTCTTAAAGAAACATAGTGAATATATGGTTTATGCTCTCTAACTCTTGTAGTTGAGTTGTATAAGTTGCTCCATTTATAGCTATTGTAGTTCCTGACTTCTTGTGAATGAGGAGGATTTACAGGTTCAATTAAGGAACCATTAGATGCTATTGCAATTTTTGTTCTAGGTAGTGTTCAGAAAATAAAAGTCAGATATATTTGGGTCTCAATAGTATTTTTTATTAATCTGACTCTATTCGCTTCTGATGTTACCTCTGCCAGCAAACTATTTCTGTTTACTTCATGTGTTTTAATTTCTATAATTGCAGTTTTGTAGGAATAATGGGTTCTGAACAAAAAAACAAACATGTTTGCTCCGCAAAATCGGAAGCTGAGATGAAACTTAGGCGACATGAAACATACAGACTAATATCTGCAGAAAAAAAGGAAGCACTGTTACAACAGCGACGAACAAAAAGACGAGTTAAAAAGGAGTGGTCTTTCTGAGAATGTTGCTTTTCCTAGCACTACTGCAGCTGCAACTGAGTTTCAGCAACAAAATGTTCCTCTTAGGGGCTCTTCTTTTGTTTCAAGAACAGGTTAGAACACATCCTTTGTAATTTTATTTTTTGTAGAAATATCCCTTGATACTCTTTGCATGTGAGTATAATTAAATGATGCTAAGTTTGTGTTGTGTTTTTCTACTAGCCAACGAGGGTCGCGTTGATGCTTTACCTGTTACATTTGACATGCAAAAGAGTATAACTTGTCCCTTCTACTCCTTTGAAGTAGGCAAGTATCGAGGATGCAACGTTGACTTTTAGACAATGTCTTTATTTATTGCTAATTTATTACTTTTTGGCGTTGGGCTCCACGTCACGTGCATCCAATGAAAACAGTAGTATGAGCTCAACAATGGTTGGAAAAAAAGGTTTGCACCAATTTTTTATTATGATAGTGTTGTATATTACCTAATTGGTAATTTTATGCTAATGATACCTAAATATACAGGTTATAACTCAAAAAAAAGTGTTGTACATACGTAGGACAGTTACAATCTGATTATATTCCCTTGAAAACTGTTCCTAATTGTAAATTTTGTGGTGCAAAAAAAATTTGAATATGAACCACCTGGATTCTGCTGTAACAATGGTTCGATCAAGTTAGTTTCACATGAGATGCCTGCTGAACTACAAAATTTATATTTGGGGACTATGGAAGAATGTAAACATTTTCGAACATATATCAGAACATACAATAATATATTTGTTTACATCACTTGGTGTAAATTATGACAAAGAATTAGCAAAAAAAAAATTATGGTATTTATACATTTAGAGTTCAAGGGAAGATGTACCATTTTATAAATGATTTGCTGCCTCCGAGTGGAATAGCAAGAAATCTACAACTATACTTCTACGACAACGATAACGAATTAGCTAACAGAATGGCTTGCTCTGAAAAATTCATGAATCAATAGTAGAAAAACTAATGAATATACTGAGTACTAATCCATACTCTATTTTCTTAAAATCCCTAATAGATGTTCCAAATCTATCGAACTACAATATGAATCTGGGAGTAGCTCTGCATGGTGATTGTGGATTTGGGAGCGCGATCCGAAGTGAATTCGGATGTCCGTGGAGCATTTTGGAGTCATTTGGCTAAAGATAGAAATTTGAAGGTTTTTGAGAAGTTTGACCGGAGGTGGACTTTTTGATATCAGGGTCGGAATCCGATTCCGGAAGTTGGAGTAGGTCCGTAATGTCGAATACTTGTGCGCAAAATTTAAAGTCAATCGGACGTGATTTGATAGGTTTAAACATCTAAAGTAGAAGTTTGAGATTCTAAAGTTCATAAAGTTTGGATTGGAGGTCGATTCGTGGTTTTAGCATTGTTTGATATGATTTGAGGCCTCGATCAAGTCCGTAATGTGTTTTGGGACTGGTTGGTATGATTGGATGGGGTCCCGGGGGCCTCGGGTGGATTCCGGATGGTTAACGGATCGAAAATGAAATTTTGAGAAGTGCTGAAGCTGCTGCTTCTGTCATAACCGCACCTGCGGTCCTCCCATCGCAGAAGCGGCCCAGGCCAGGCCAGGAACCGCAGATGCGGCTCCCAAGCCGTAGAAGCGGCTTCATAGATGCGGCCTGGAGACCGCAAATGCGGTCCCAGCTTTTTGGCCCATTTTCGCAGATGCGGCCCATTTCTCGCAGATGCGGGACCGCAGATGCGGTCCCCTGACCGCAGATGCGAAAATGCTGGAGGCAGTGAGGTTCTTTTAAATCGGGGGTTGGGTTCACTTCAACCCCATTTTCTTCCATTGGAGCCGATTTGTAGCAACTTTGAGGTGCCATTTTCACCACCAAGCATGAGGTAAGTAATTTATGTTAGTTTTGAGTTAAATACATGACTATATACGGATTTGGACATGTAAATTTGTAAAAAATTTGGGGTTTTGGTAGAAAGACCTAGAAATTTATATCCTTGGAATTGACCACGATTTTGGGTATGGAATTAAGAGAAAATTATATATTTGAGTTCGTGAGGCTATGGGTAAACTCATTCTTCGAAAATTTTGGAAATCTGGGCGCGTGGGCCCGAGGCCGTTTTTGTTAACTTTTCGATCGGGGTTAGGAATTGTTATAAATTGGATTAATATGAGTAGTTTATCGTATATTAATGGATTTGTATAACTATTGGCTAGTTTTGGAGCGTTGTGCATCAATTTGAGTGTTCGGAAGGGCGTGGAAGGCCGGTTATGGATCTTCGGAGCGAGGTGAGTCTCCTTTCTAACCTTGTATGAGGGAATTGTCCCCATAGGTGAAATAATTAGTTATGTGCTCCTATTTGCGGGGGCTACGTACGCACGAGGTGACGAGAGTCCGTGCATAGCTACTAATATGTGTAAGTCCGGGTAGTCTAGGACCCAAAAAGCATGCTATACTTGGAATATCTGTGATCTTATTGACAAATTGAATTTCCTAAATCCTATCTAATTGGTAAGTGAATTTCTAAGAAGATTAAACTCCATTTTTCTTGAATTGTTAAAAAGAGAATTTGGCTTTTCCTTGGATAATTGTTCCCTGATAAATTCAGGATTTGATTGATTGTCGTGTTTATTTATATTTGACCGCGTCGCATGTATGATTCGCGAGCGGGGTAACAGATGCATCTATGATTCGGGCCGCTCGGCCCTCGGCAGTGCATATTTTAAATATTGTTGGATCGGGTCGTACGACCTTGGCATGAGTTGCGCATGCTTGTATTGCTTGCTTTGATATTTGCTGATACCAATATCTGCTCTCCCGACTTGAGATAATTGTTAATTAATGGATTGTGAATCCGGAGACTTTTAATAAAGAGGAACTCTTACCTGTTTAGTAATTTACTTGAATCTACTGTTGTTCTTAATAAATCTGTGAGTCATCGCGTTAATAATATTATTACTGGACCTTTAGTAAGTGTCGAAGTTGCCATCTCGTCTCTACTTCTTCGAGATTAGGCGGGATACTTACTGAGTACACGTTATTTTTTTGTACTCATACTACACTTTTGTGCATTTTTGTTGCACAGGCACATGCGCCCCTAATAGCTTAACAGGCGTAGCAGCATGGTTGACACGGAGACTGGGTGAGCTGTATTTCCTCGAGGTGACCCGCAGCTAGTATAGTCTCTCTCAGGATTTTATTTATTTTCTGTCCAATTGTATTTCGGACAACTGTTGTACTTTATTCGATTTTTCTTAGAAATTGCTCATGCACTTGTGACACCGGGTTCTGGGATGGTTGTAAGTATTTTTTTGTATCAACTGCTTATTATTTAAATTTTATTTGAGATGATTATCTTTTAAATTGGTAAATCTGAAGAAAAGTCATAGTTTTCAAGAGTATTAAAATGAGGATTTAATTAAGTATTTTGGGTTGACTTGCCTGACAGTGGTGTCCGGCGCCATCACGATTTTTAGTGGAATTTGGGTCGTGACAATTAACCACAAATGTTTAGGGTTTCAGCAATTGCCAATCTATCTCTTAGCTCAATAACGATTTTGGGTGGGTCAAAATTGGTTGAGTCTATAAATGGGCGGGTCAAATGACCCGTCCAAAAGTTACTTGGGCTGAGATGGGCTAAAATTTGGGTTATAGCCCAATTCGCCCAACTCTTATCAAACTTTAATCAATATGTATTATTTTCTTATGAATTATATAATTACTAAATAAGACTTTTTTTTTGTTATGGTCATATATAATATATCAAACAAAAAAAAGTATTTCGAAGATATTTTGGCAAAGTTACTCATGGATCAATTTGGGCTAAAAATCAACCCAACTTTAAATGGGTTGAGATGAGTTGGATCAATATGGGTTGAGTTTAACAAATGGGCGGGACAATAACCAGCCCATTAAACGGGTTAGGCGGGTCAAAGTATTTCGAAGATATTTTGGCAAAGTTACTCATGGATCAATTTGGGCTAAAAATCAACCCAACTTTAAATGGGTTGAGATGAGTTGGATCAATATGGGTTGAGTTTAACAAATGGGCGGGACAATAACCAGCCCATTAAACGGGTTAGGCGGGTCATTTGGGCTTGGATCAAATTTGATAGCCTAGCTCAATATTTGGAGTTGAATATCTTTGAGCTTATGGTAGGACTAAAACCTAAACCTAGACTCTCTTATGCACAAAAGGCAAAGCATGGATTAGCACCTGGTCTCTAAACAGAAGTGTAAGTAATCATTAGATAAAGCATTTAGTAGAACACTTATAAACAAATGCATCTTCTTTTTATTAGTTTAAACTTTACAGTGGGGTAATTCATATGATTCAACTTAATATCAAAGCAAACAAAGGTTTTGTATTCAAGATTTACCACCATTGATCATCAAAATATTTTCACGAGTTTTGTTTTTAAAAAGACACGATTATTTTAACGGGATATTATAAACCTAAAATATTAGTCAAAAGCGTTTAAGTGGTTAAACCTTAAGAAGAGATGATTCATGCAGAATAATAAAAGGTTAAACCTAAATATGAAACAATTCACACAGTTCAATAAGAGTCTTCAAATAATATTAGCTTCAGCACACAAAATTAAAATTGACCGTCCTTTTCGTTTCCATTTATTAGTTTAGCCATATTTACGTGATAGTACTTGAAATTTCCCTTTTTGAGTAAACATTCATAATAAGTTACTCGAATTATATCAGCTTAGGCACAACACATATGTGTGCCAGTTGATTTGAATTCCTTCTCACTTTTTTCCCCTTTTCTTTTGGGGTATTATCACTTTTAGCCTGCGAATATATTCGGTTGCCGAAAAAGTGTATAAAAATTGTATAATTTTTGTATATAACATACATAATGTATATATGCACAAAGAATATACGAAAAACATATATTTTTTGACTATTATTTTGAGAGCGGCTATACCGTATCATTTTCCCTTTTTCTCTCTTTTATGGTACCTTTTTCAGTACTCGAGCATGAAAAACTGAAATGGGCTACAAAAGTACAGTTGTAAACCAAATGGGTCCATGAAAAATGGGCTGACCAAGTTAGTAAAACCGAATGGGCCCATAATAATTTCATTGTGGTCCAAATATTCATGTTTAAGTTCTATGGAAGAATGCCACAATTGGATGGATGACTGATTTACTCAAATATTTCTAAAAGATCAAATTAAGTTTGGACAAGAAGTGTTCACTGTGTTAACTAATATCACTGTTATCTTGTCATCTATAATGCTTAAAACAAGCAAGAAAAACTTGATTATTTCCTCATCATATACTAACATGTTAAAGCAAAGAAAGTATTCAAAATTAGAAAGATTATCTTTTATGCAGAGAGAAATGATTGTAGGGTAGGGTCCCCCTCGGCAATTGAAGTATTTGAGTATAATAAAAAAATCAAGTGTAGGACCATTTCTACAATGTCCCTTTGACTTTTTCACATGCTAAAAGAGAAAATCATTGACAATAATAGAGCTTTTCATTATACCAATGTACTATTTATCACCTAAACTGCAAAATTCAGGTCTTTGGCAATGTCTGTGCCGAAATGTGAGTATGGACAGGTTCATCTTTGGCATATGTGACACATTATTGGCACCAATATATTTATATGGTAG